CCTGTTGTGCTGGTACGACTATACCAGGAACTCCAACTTCTTTTCCTTTCTATTGAGTGTTTGCATGTATTCCAAAGTTCCATGCATTTTGCAATAAGGTGGCTTCCCTTGGTTTGCAATAATAGCGCCAATGTCCCATCAATTATCATTATGTTCTTTAGTTCCGCCCCTTTTTCTGGGTTAAGGAGGGAAAAGGGGGACCTCTAGTTCAGTTCACACAGAGAAGCCTTTCGTATAGGATGTGAATCAGTTCCACCTGTAGAAAGCTTAGTCTTTTACAGCTTTGCTGGGGGGATCCAGTCCCACAGTTCTACAGATAACTATAACATAGCCTTTGTTGGGGAATTTAGTTCCACAACTCTACAGCCAGCTCCTTGCTGGAGAAATACAGCTCCACGGTTTTACAGCCAGGCATCACTGGAAATTGAAAGCCTTATTTCCCCTTGGAAATCTACTAAAGGGCTCTATTTGGTAAGGACCACTCATGGCAGCCATAAAGCAATTTGGATCGGGTGTAGGGACCCACGCCAGCAGAGCTTAAGCCAGATTGCCCAGGGAGGGGTCAAGGATTTCCCTTGTAGAAGGAAGAAACAGTTTATGAAGAAAGTTGCCTGTCCCTTGTGGACATGATTTAAGCAAGCCACCAGTTGATTCAAAGCCTTGAAGTATTTGTTTGATTTATTGAAGATTTAAGCAACAATAAAAACTTTGTTGAACTTTCTAAGTCTTTAAAAGAACTTTCTGTGGGGAAATTCGAAAGGCCTCTCAGCTGAGGCACCCCCAGCGTCCCCTTGGGCATTCAGAAAAAACATCCTGTCTACAGACTCTTTCACAGACCCAGTGCGTGACAGCACACCTGTCCTAAACTCACACAAGACTTGGCTGTTTTGTGGCTAAAACAAAAATTTCTAGATTACAGTTCAGTTGAAACCAGCTTATGAATGTTGTTATGAAGTGATATCCATGGGTGTTGAAATTTATAATCATTCATTAAGAAAGAGGTAAAATAAAAGCATTTTTCTTTCTTTTCTGGTGAGGATAACTATACGCACAATTTATAACAAAAGTTATAATGCATTAGTCTGAACAATGGATAAACGATACTAATCATTTCAATGACCTACCGAAATATTTTATAAAGCATGTTAAAATCAGTATTTGTGAAGAGTGGCCAAACTTATTTCCCATCTGAATATTGTCAGAGATTAAGAAATAAAAGAATCCTTCAATTAAGCCCCCCCCCCCCCACTATTATATATATTTATGTTTAGTATCAATTGTCTATTACCCTAGTAAAGAAAAAAGTGACTCTGAATGTACTACTGAATTTCTGGGTAATTTCCAATAGACTAAGAAGGATATGTGTCAAGTATGTTTTGTTGTTCTATGAAAATCTGGAATACCCTCCAAATAATAAGAAATTATTACTTATTTAGTTTTTTGTTTCATTTAAAATATTTTAGCCTCAAAAGAGCTCAGAGCAGTTAAAATTCAGAGAGTTGTAATTTTACTGTTCAAATTCACTATTTAAAGTTTTGTTAGTACAGTATATTGTTAAAAATAAATGCTGAATCATTCAAACTCTGAAAAAGACAGAATCATAGAATAATATCCTAATGACCTGTTAATTTTTCTGCCTGATCTTTGAACAGCACTTCAGCCCAAGATTTCCAATGCTAAACAGCAAATACTCCCATAACAACAAAACATTGAGTCTTTTAAAGGCTCCCTAGCAGAAAAACAAAGCTCCTTTCAACTGGCTTAAAATAGACAATATGTTTATCCCTTTTGCTTCCTAGCATTCCTTCCCGCACATAAAACTTCCGGATTACTATGCTGTGAAATGCAAAGGATGAGAATCAAATATTCCACTCCTGCACACATAGTTATCCCTTAAGGATGAAAGCAGATTCAGTGATGGATATTGTAAGCCTACAAACAGGAGGGACAGAGACATCAGCAGTTCTGAAAAATTAAGGAGTCTGAGTCAAGATTTTTTAGTACAGTGCCTGGCAAGTTCATTTGAGGATTATAAATGTCACTAAGTGTGCTTTCCAGTTGATTCTGAATATGGTTTCTCCAGTCATGTCCCTCATGGGTATAGTGCTAAAGGCAATTCAAGTTTATACTCCCTACACTCAAATATTATATTTCTCTAACACCTGAACTGTTAATTTAGAATCTATTTATTTTGCATAGTATATACTTTCCTAAGAGTTTCATAGAGCACAGACTCTTCCATCTGTACCATGTTTGAAATCTAGATAAGTGATCTTTCTCTTGGTCCTACCACCTTCAGAGGCAAGTCTGATGAGGTTAAAATCTCATCCCTGTTGTCCTAGGACCTCGTTACATTAACAATGAAAAACGCTAAATCTGTACGCATCCTGTTGTATGCCTCATATGGGATGCATCAAACCCCATCACACTCGGCTTGTATATTTTGAAAATACAGAGCACCATGGAAGGGTGGCTCCTCCTAATTCATTTGAATGCCTCCCATCACTTTTTTCCTCTTAATATTATGCAATGACAGCCTGGAAGTATCAAACTAGCATTCTCACAAGATTTTAGAAGAAGATTTTGCATCTGCATAGTAATAGTTTCCCCTGATCACTATCCTTTGGCACAATACAAGGGAGGGAAGAAATAGCTACAATTTCAGTAAACATTAAGGTAAAAAAGGTAAACCAGCAATTACTGACATACTAATTCCAGAGGTCTTTCCCCAGCAGCCACAGAAAGAGAAATGGTGGCTGCTTTTGTCACAAAGACTCCTGGGGGTCAGCAGAATCTGCCCCAGACATATCCCCAAGGAAAACATTATAGTACAGCTGATAGAATGCATACTGTTTTTTACCATCACACAGAAAAGTAGCTCCTCAGAACAATTTTAAATCAAAAATGTTTTTAGAATTCTATGTGCAATTACTCAATTTCTGAGACCATGGGCTGCTAATGGAAGGGGACAAACGTCATGTGATAGGACCTGTTGGGAATCACTTGCCATGGGTCTCAGAAATGGAATATAACCCAATGTGATAAGGTACCTAATGCTTGCAGGCAAAGACCTGTCAATTCAGCCAGACTTTCCATAGCTATTTCCTAGACATGGAGAGTTTTGAAATAGATGAGCTGGACTTTTAAATATTTTATTTGTCTTATTATTACTAAAGTGTTTGGAACTGTTTTATTGATGAGCAGTTTAATTTGAATGACCATTTAATTTAATTTTAATAGGCATGGTTTAATAATATGAGCAGTTTAATTTTAATTTTAATCAGCATAATTTACAGGGTACCTGTATATATGTTCAAAGCTACCTCGCATGCCACTCGTGGGAGAAAGGCAGAATGTCAGTCAGTTGATCAATCACACAAACAGTTAAATAAATGTTAAAATACTGAAGACTACACACAGTAAAGACTCAGAAAATAAGAGTATGTGGGTTGTGGTGAGAAAAACATACACAGTCAATACATAGTCAGCAGATAAAGAGGTGGATTGGGAGTTATAGTCATGAGTGAAAATTGACTGAATTGCATAAGATTTCTGAAGCCTCACTTTGTGATCTAAGATTAGTTTTTAGTCATAATCAAAGTGTGTTGAAACAACATGAGAGAAGGTTAAGCAAAACAGTTCCTCCCCCTCCCACGCACTATTACACTATCTTATTTCCATCACCTGCTTATGAACATGACAGTCTTATCCATTTGTGGTAAGTCTCCGGTGAATAAGAAATCTGATTTCTCGGGTTTTCAACTCAAGAGGAAATCTGCTATGGATAATCTTCTTCAGATGGTTAAGTGTGTCTTTCCATGTGTGGATCCAACATGTTCAATCACAACTTAATATGGCTAATGTATAACACATTCACTTGTAAGTTTTTGTAAAAAAGGACTGTGTGCATCTCACATTGTATTGAAAGATCATGCAACCATGAGGACTAAAAAGTGTTTTCTATCCATCTCGAGCCACAAGGAGAGGTGGGTAATAAATCTGTTGTTGTTTTAGAGGGGAAAGTAATATTGAGATTTCCAGAGTGCATAACATTCTACTAGATTATATTAGTCTGGAGAATATTGGCAGTGCTATCTGAAGTTAACTAGCCCAAACAGATGACACTATGGGCTGTATCTAATTCTTAGATCTCACAAGAGCAGACTACTGAATCACAGGGATTTACATTAGAGCTGGGTAAACAATCCTCATCCATTTAGTAGGTTTCCTTTTATTGGGACTAACAGTAAGATTTGGCACCATCTATCTTTTTAAATTGTGCTATCGAACACCAACCAAGTATTTAATGTTGCTTTCAACATGACATGACAAACAATGGTCTGTGACATCAGATCTCAAAAATGATTGATCATCATGCCAAAACATGTTTAAATAAAATAACCAAAAAAATATATAGGTGAAACTGCTGTTGGTTTGTATTTCCAATCTACTCAGGGTATGGTTTTTGTCATATTTTTGGTTGGTGGGGGGAGGCACTATTTGGATCTCTAAACAGCAAAGAAAAACTGGCAATGGCACTGTGAAAGCATCCAGATGCTTGGCAACATACTTGGCAACACATATTTGGCAACATTAGTGCAAGAGGGAAGAAAAAAAATGGCTGATTGGCCAAAGGTGTATTCCAACTAGGAATCAATGCTGGAACATGCTCTTCTAATGGAATTAACTAAATAATTTATGTACAGTTCCACACAGAGGAGGTGACACAATCTTGAGGGAACAAAGTCTACTTTACTTCCAGCAGGTAGCATCACCTCTCCCAGTCTCAAACTAGAAAGAACATTTTTATAAAAGTAAAAAATGATAAGAGCATTGCACATTAAAAAAAATAATACTCAAAGCCTAAGATAGAAGAAAGCAACCCATAGGTTATGTATGAAAGTCATAAGAAAAAGAGAGAGAGAGAGAGAGAGAGATGAAGAAAGAAAGAAAGAAAGAAAGAAAGAAAGAAAGAAAGAAAGAAAGTATATATACTTTACCATCCCCTGGAATAATGCGTAGAGTGACCATATTTCCTGCTTCTTTAATTAGGTTGACGATGTCCGAATGTGATTTGTTGGTGATGGAGCATCCGTTAACGGCCAATATCCGGTCCCCCACCTTCAGCTTCCCGCATCGGTCTGCTGGGCTCCCCTCAATAATCCGACCTATTTTGTGAGGCATGGCCACACATGCATTGCCTGCTTTTGTATTGAACATTGGTTTGTTTGTTTGTTTTGGGGTAGGGGTGCAATTTTTTTTCCAAAAAATTGTTTATATACGTTGGGAACATGGTGAAGGGGAAGGAGAAAAAGGGTTGAAAAGGGAAAGAGAAGGTTAAGGGTTAATTAATTAATGCATCAAGCAAAAGTTATTAAAGGATAGCTTTGCTGCCACTGTTCAAAACATTGGCAATTGACTCTGCAAGTGCAAATTGGAACTTGGCAAGTTGGCATTTCCTACATCTTGTTCCCTTATTTATATACACACGCACATTCTCTCCCATTAATATGGTAGAGAATGGCTTCTTTTGATGGGCTGCAGTTGGACTCAGCAGTACCCAAAAATGAAATTACAGTAGATTTGAGTTGCAAAATTTGAAACTGTTAGATGGAATGCAACTCTTTCTTTCTTTATAATATTTTGTCTTTGTCTTGAGACAGTTGTTGTTACAGCTTCTGCCAATGTTTTGTTCTTTCTCCATTTTGAAAGAATTGTACTATTATCTACAGAGGAATAAGAGATTTGTTTGAATTTTGAGAACTCATAGCAATCCATCCTATAAAATGAACATGGCATGGATAAGACAGGTAGGGAATTGGACTGATTTTTCTACACTGGACAAGGGAACTATTTAAGGTAAGGAGCAGAATTGCTACAGATGGTAATGTGATTGCAATACACAGCCTTTCCAAGACAACTTGCCTATGAACAATTGGATAGCTCTTCCTTTTTTTGTGATCTGATTGATAATAATTAGAAAGACCCAAAGATTGCCTAAATGCCTCTACATTACAAATTCAGAAAAATGTATATTTTTGGCAATTCTACTGCATTTCACAAGTCTTCCCACACAAATTTATGGCTTGGATTAGAGGACAGGACCAGGAACCAATGGTCTGTCTGTGGAAATGGACAAAGAGTGATTCCTTTCTTGCTTTTATAGCCTCTTGTGAATAATTCAAATCTACCCCAATGTACCAGAAAGCCACTGGGGCAGATTTTAGGCAATATCAAGGACTCAGAAGAGGAAGAAGGAAGGAAAAACAACATTGCATCAATGTAAATATAGTAGTGCAACACTGGATCCTGGCAAGGAACAGAGAAACAGGAAATGATCTGGGATGGATAAATTTATTTCTATTTGTGGTAATAACTTTGAAATGTCTTCAGATTAGCTTTGTTTGCTGTGTCAGAATTAAATCCATTTAAGGATTAGGAATGAATAGGAGTGGCAGATACTGTGAGGGACCAATTTTCAAGAAACACAGTGCTAAAGTGGAAACTAGGAGTGGGAATTAATATTTGTTATGCTTTCCTCCAGGTTGAAAAGCAGAGTTTCCAACAATCAGGAAGAAAAATTGACCAATGAGGATCTTGCACAAATTTATTCCAATGTTTGAACATATCAAAGTGTTGTAGAGGAATTGTTCTGCATACAAACATGTGTCTTTGTGTGTGTGCAAATCCCAGGTTTATGTACACAAAAGAAGTTTCTTACGCAATTACTCATTTTCTGCAAGAAACCTTTTTCTGTGCATTCTTTTGCATTCAAATTCCATGTGTTTTTCTAGTTAGAACATTCCATCCACAACACTTTAGGATGTTCAGATATAAGAAGAATACTGCAGAAGAATACTGGGTTATACACTGCAAAAAAGCTGTTACAAAGAATGGATTGGGTAGCAGTTAAAATGGGGACAGAGTGCAATGACAGCAGTAAAAATGAAACAAATTCCCAACAACTGTTGGAGAAAAGAGTGGAGACAAAGGAACTTATTTGCACACATGGCAATCACACTCAGTTGTCCAAATGTTTTGTATACACACTTTTTAATAAAAATTAATAGAAACAAAAATTAATAAAAAATTAGCGCTCTCATTATGTTTTTAGGAACACTGAAGAAAGATATGCAAGGTCCAAGTTATTCTTCAGTCTTAATCATTTATAGAATACAGAAAAAGAGAGTGCTCCTCACAGGATAGAATCACTCGAATACTGCAGGATATTTGACTTTATATGGCTTTGTTTCAGGTCATGCCCTTGGCTACTTTGACTTTTATTTCACCTATTTCTCGGTCACTCTAGCCTAGGTAGAAGTCTGGCACTATCCTTTGTTAGCTCAGCTCAAGGTTGTGGGCTGACATTCTACGAACCTGACATTTAGGTTTGGCTATAAGCTTCTAGCTCAATTTGGCCCTTAACTTTAGCAATGCCCTCTTTAAAGTCCAAATTGAATTTGTCTTGACATAATTTAGCTTCATTGTTATCTTACTAAAAACATGATAGGTGGAGAAGACTAGGCACAGCTGGAGTAATGAACCTTGTCAGAACTCACTAGGCTCTTTTGTAAATGGGTAGAAATAAAGTTAATTCTAAGATACACCTATTTTAATAGTAATTTATGCCATCATAGAATCAAAAAGATCACAATGAAGGATAAGTTAATTTGCAATATGTGTCAATATTCACCAAAATAAGGCAACAAAAACTGGTAAGAGTTATTGCAAAATGTGTAGCAGTGAATCTGGCCTCTCCTATATAATTTCTAAACATAAGTAATTTACTACAATGGGAGTCTATTTCTATCTAACAAAGGGGTTAATCTGGAACTAATGTGGTCCATTCCTGCAGATCATCTACACAAAACTACAAAAAAAATCTACTTTGGGTTGTGAAGGAAGCATTGTGCAACTGAGGACAGATATCTCATGCAGAATTGTGGGGAAGAAATGCTTCATGGGAACAGGGTGGGAGGATCTGAAGTCAAGACATAATACCTTTTTTCACATATCCTTATATCTCCAACTACAAAAAGTCATTCTTTCATAAATTACCACATCCAACTATTAAGATTGATTTAGACTATTCTAATTAGGATTAAGGGACTAGTCTACTTCATCATTTAAAACTGATAAGAAAAAAATGTACGAACACTATGCACCCATGTGTTAACCCATCAATGAAAAAATATTCCCTTTATGGTAGCCTTCTGGACTGGGAGTGATTACTAATGTGGTAGGTCTTGACTGTCTTAATGATGGTACTGCCTCATTATCTTATCTATAATGATCATCTTTTAGCTACCGTCACAGATGGTCAGAGAGGCCTTTTAAGACTGAATAGCTACCATATGTCAGTCCAAGTGCACTTTGGTTTTCACTGCAGGAAAGAGTATACAAGAATTTCACCTCTTGGGTAATTGCCCAGGAACACTTGGCGAAAGTGGTTCAGGAATTCCTAATTAATTTAACAGCAGTATGTGCTAATGCTATGGACACTGACCTATAAGATGAAGCTCAGTTGCTGGTCACCCAGTGTGGTGTAAGCCATGCAATGTACTACTCAAACCAGATAATGCGATAAAACTAGACAATGTTACAAGCCTCATAGCTTGTACACTTCTTCTGACATAATGCTTGGACACACTGGACATGTTGCAATGTTTATATTCAGGTTGAAAACCAGATTTTTAAGCCACAGAAGCTCTCCTAATGTCTTTTCCTTGTGCAAGAATATTTTACTTTCTTTGGAGCCTGTTCTCTCAGGGAGTCTATGATGCTAGAGACAGTGAACAGACTAAAAAAGTGCCATGAAAGTATCACAGACACAACTGAAGACCAGCTCCACTAGTCTTAATTAGCTGCTCATAATTCATTGATCTTCTCTTTCCCTTTGCCCCCAACATGGAAATAATGAGTTCCTCCTTTCCTCTATGTGTTTCCCTTCATGGAATTCTCCACTACATGGGTGTGTCCCAAAGGTCAATTAATGAATACTTTTTTATGTCTAGAAATGAAAGGCCATGTGTATTCCTTTTTACAAAAATATGTTATTTATCTGATATAGCATAAAGCAGTCCTTTAATATTAAACCCCTCCTGCAATGTTCTAGGGACAGCCATCTGCTTCAGAGTCGAGTAAACACAATCCTAGCATCTCCCTCTCTGGAGAAAAGTTCACTAAGTGACAACCTTTTCTATTGCTGCTGTGACTGCCAATTATTCAAAGTCCAGCTAGTTTGTTGCTTTAAAAAATACATTCAGGTTTCGAATAAAATCTGGGAGGCAAACAGCTCCCAGTGCATAACTTTCCATTTAAACAAATTGACTGAATAGAAAAAGACATTACAGAGCAGTAATTGCAATCTTTGATATATGTATAGTGGCATATATCAACTGAGACTTAGTTCACAAGTAATGCTGGAATCAATGACATCTACTTCTGTTTTTTTAAATTGTAAGTGGAGGTTTAATATGAGATTTTCTGCAAAGTGCAGCTACACAGAGAAAATAAAGAAAGGTCAACCTATTAATGGAATCAACCAAAAAGCTCCCAAATTGATCTAGTTGTTTCCAGAGCTTGGGAATAGGAGATTGTGTATTAGCATACTGCCATCACACCATTAAGGAAAGCTACTTAGTTATTGTTGAAATGTTGTAAAAAATACAATGAGAATTAATTTGTTATTTAATTCCCTAATTGTTAAATGTAATGACAACATTTAAACATAGAGTCAGCCCTCCACATTCCTGGTGTTAGGCATGTAGGACCCCCATAACTGCTGAAAAAATACGAATAAAAGCAACTGCTTTTTTTATAGCTAAGACAACATCTATGTAGGCATATCCAGCATGATTCCAGAAGAGTTTATCATACTGTCATACAGGAGCATCTAGAGATTCCTAGACAGAATATTTTGACCAAATCTGGAATGATCAAACCTGTAAAAAGTAAAGGGCCAACTGTACCAGTAAAATTAAGAATGGGGCAAAGTGATACAAAATGTTAACTCTACTGCTTCTTTAACAAATTAATAAATGTTTTCATTTTTAATTAATTATTTTCAAGCTCTAACTCCTTCCCAGGGAGGAAAAAATATTGCCAGGGTTCACTCAAATCAAACAAGGGAATGAGAGGAAGTTCAAAAATATTCTGGACTTACCAAAAGTTGTTCCAGCTTCTGGTCGGCTAACTGAAGACACAATGACAAAGCCAAAGCCTTCATTTTCTCCCCGGCGTATTTCCACGTCATAGGGTTGCACCACGGTGCTGACTACGCCACTGCCACCACCTCCTCCGCTACCAATCCCACTGGTACTGCCACTACCCGAACTGACTGTGTTGAGGGAGTTTTGGCTGCCCTGTGGAGTGCGTTTCTCCTCTGTCAGAGAAGCAGGCTGGTTGCTGCTGTGATGAGATGAAGCTGGGGATGGCACCTCGTTCTCTGCTTTTGGAACTGTTTGAGAAAGATGTAACTCCTAGTTAAGAACATTCTCTTGACATCATACTTTCAATATTATTACAGAAATGACTGGAGATGAATTATTAAAATAATCGCACTTTCCACCAACAAAACAAGGGATATTTTCTCATTAATATATCCTATAAACCACCTTTTCCCGACTAGATTCCCCCAAATGTTCTAGCATAGCCTGTTCAATGAAGACACCCATGTTGCATAATTTTCTCACAGGAAGACACATTTGGTAACATTTTTCATGAAATCTCAGCATGGAATTATAACTTTTCTCTCCCCCCCCCCAACTCCCATAGTTGATTTCAAGATGGTTTAATGTGCAATTTGTGTGTGTACACATATTTTGTTGTGTACGTTCTATCTTGTGTTTTTTATATAATTAATTTCAGCATCTCCTACCTTTCTGTAATCACTGCAGCTGTCCCTCCACATTTGCAGTTTTTCTTTCGTGGCTTTGATTATTCAAATATTTTATTTAAAATGTTTTCAATCCTCCAGTATGACTCTATGGTCAACTTCCTCCAGTAATGCTGGAGTACCTGGAGATTTCTAGAGAGAGCAACTCTCCAGGATCTCTGGGTTTGTCAATGTGATTTTTATTGTCAATTTCCAGTGGACGTTGACCATAGAGATGTGCTGGAAGACTGCAGTTTTTCATTTTTACAGGTGTCCTGTGCCACTAACCCCATTGATGTGGTAAGCTGGTTTTATTACTAGTACTACTACTACTACTACTAATAATAATAATAATATTTATTTCTACTCTGCCACCATCTCCCCGAAGGGACTCAGGGTGGCTCACAAAAGCACTCTAGGATGCAACACATAACAATAGAAATACATAAGCATAAATACAGTAAAATATAAATTTAAACAAATGCAAGAGAACAGACAACATCATAAAATGATAAATGCAGTAACACCTATGAATAGACTGGGCACTGTGAGAGTAACAAATAGTTCTTACATGAAGCCACAGTGGACTACTCAGGGTCGAAGGCCCATTAAAAAATGATGTTTTTAGGTTAGACCAAAAAGTTTGCAGAGTGGGGGCTAACCTAATCTTTCTAGGGAGGGCATTCCAGAGCTGGGGAGCCACCACCAAGAAGGCCCTTTCTCTCATCCCCACCCATTGTACCTGAGACAGTGGCGGGACTGAAAAAAATCCTCCCTGTTGCTACTACCATTAGCTATCATCATAATGATAGACCTGTTAAAAGAGAAAACAGTGTATGGCCCATTTTTGGTGTAAATTGTCTTTCCATTCTGGGACACATTGTTGAATTAATATGAAATATGTTAAAATCAGAATACAAGTTTGCCCCAGATTGACTTTTTAAAAAACAGTAAACTGTATACCTGCTTCGTTCTGCTTATTTATTTATTTAGTTATTTATTTTAAACTTTTATATCACAATCTTGTCAACCTCCATAGAGGGACTCAAAACTGTGCAACAAAAACAAACACATTGAATTTTGCATTACATTCCAACAGGGTTAAGAAACCTTTAGTCAACCCAATGTTTTACACTAAAATCACCACAACCCCCTACTAATAACAATTTTCTCTGGGATTTCAAAGTCTGAAACATCTGGAAGGCAAAGTCCCCCCCCCCCTCTGAGTTTACAGATTTTTATAGTTGATATACTACAGATATTTTGTGGAGAAAAGATGATAAACACAGAGAAATAAATCTTGGCATGACCAGGGACATGTCTTTAAGAAATTACTGATGTACTCCTCGCAAATCTGGAATTTCAAACTTGTTTTCACCCCTTGTCATCTCTTGTGCATGAACTCATGAACATGAACTCAGTGTGATCCATTCAATCAGACTTTCTGATACAGAGTTATGGTGTGCCATGCTGAACCGGACATCCTACAGTTTTTAAAGGCATTTCCTGTACTTCTGGTTTACCATTGCAGCCCCATAAACAGTTATTAAAAAAGAGCTGTATACCAGATGGGAAGATGATAAACAAGAAGGATTGAATCTGTTACCTCCATGCCAGGCAACACTTCAGAAGAATCTGCTGGAAACAGATTGCTGGACAAATGAAATTTGTTCTGCCATAGGCTAGCAATTTTTCACATTAGAACCTTAACATGCTGCTAACTAATATGGTCCCTCTACATAAATAGTATTGTAAAGAAATCCTTCATAAACCTTTTAATTTCACAGTATTTTTTTATTCTGGCCCAGCAAGAAAACAGCTTCTTGAAATGGAAATAAAATGTAATAGGGAAAGTCATAATGTACCTTAGAAAGAAGCTGCATAACCTCTTTAATAATCAAAAGTCTACGTTTCAGCTAGAAAGATTTGGCTATTTATTCCATGCCTGGGAAGCTTTAGCAACAACAACAATGAAGATGGGAGGGAGGGAGCCTGAAAGTGTATATTGTTAAGATTTTTTTGAAGGAATTGAGTCTTTTGATCTTTAGAAAGTAGTTCACTTTCATCCCGAGGAGGAGTAAAAATAAAACATTCAAACAGTCACATTGCAACCTACCTGTGTACACCACTTTGCGCCTGACAGTTAAATTGACATGGCCTTGCTTTGCAGCCTGTTGCATAAGTTGGACTACCAGCTGGTGAGATTTCCCAACAACTGGCGTTCCATCTACACAGATTAATTCATCTCCAGATCGTAAGCGACCATCTGCATCTGCAGCACCCAGTGGCACAATGTGACCAATGTAAATCTGTGAAAATATATATGTATGGATAAGAAGAACTGATTATAGGAGTTGTAGAGGAGTCCAGTCTAAGACACAATGCTCAGAGTGTGATTATATACTGGAGTAGGTTAATGGTGCCTTACAGATGTTTTGGTCTAATTCCTATAGTCCCCGACCATTAGCTATGACAGCTGGGACATATGAGATTTGCAGCCCAAGATATCTAGAAAGTACAGTATTTCTACTTGGAACTCTTACACAAACAACATCTAACCAACTGGACTATGTAATCAGTTCTCAAGTGACTTCAGCTATTTCCCCTGTGGGTCATGTCATATGCATTTAAATGATGAAAAAGGGTTTTAGAAAATCAGATCCAAAGAATATCAGAAAGTTACACAAAAAAGATAGCAGGAAGGGCTTATATAATTGCAATTTTACATCTAATACCAAATGCTAGTCTGGGAGGAAGGTGAGATATAAAGTAATATATTGGAAAGTTAACTGTATCTTGAACAATGAGAGGAAAGTGCATGCATTGAGCTTCTCCAGTATAGTATTTTCTGAGTTCTTCACCTACTTAAATCGTACTACTGAGATGTTATGCATAGATGTTGATATCTAGATCTATCTCAAAGAGCTTGGGAAATTATTTTAAGAAAAATAAACACAAATAGAAGTTGAGCATTGGTAGGATAACCTACAACATCACCCTACTATTGTTCAGTTATGGATGGCTTCAATATGTCATATTCACTCTTCCTAAAATTATCTTTCAAAGCTATATTCTGACTCACATGTGGGTGGACAGGATCCATGGAATGGACTAGAATATAGACAGCTCTGCACATCTTACAGGATTAACAACATGAATCCTCCCAACCCTATCACCAACCTAGAGCAAGAATTTCTCAGAAGAGGCTGTGAAATCTTCCTCTCTCAGAAGCTATTGATGACAGCAACACATAGGCAAGATATTAGAAGAGGGGCAGGCAAAGTACAGGCAAAGCATAGCCTTCTAAGGACATCTAAGGACTCCATGGCAAGAATTTAATGTTTTGAAAGTAGTGATTTTTTTTTTTGGATTCCACAATTCCTCAAAATCCTTTACAAAGTTTCAACTTAAAGGATCCCACACAGAAGGAAATATTGCTATGTTAGACATACTCAGGACAAGAATGTTCATACACTTTACATTCAAAACCAAAACTACTGTCAAATAATCAATACAGTGCTATATAACTTTGTCCAGGGAAGTTGCTGATTTGTGTCTTCAAAGCATGTCTGACATGGAGATATTTAGATGCCATGGTGTCTTCCTGGCAAGATTTATTCAGAGAGCTTTGACACTATCTCTCCAAGGCCCAAGGTCACCCAGTGGCTTAGCAGGGTTTTGAATCCTGATGTCCCAAAGTCTTAGCATTACACACTATTCATTTGGCTCTTGCCCAGGAAGGACCACTCCAAAACTTGGACAGAGTTCTACGAATCATGATCCAAATTTTTAGGGATACTGTGTTGATACTGTTAGCAACTCTAACTAAACTAAACTAAGTGTCCCCAGGGATCCAAAGTACTTTTGACCAATTGTTAGCTAAAGCCTTAGGAGGTAAAAACTAATCTGGGCATACTCTTTGGTATCCTCAGGCTAGGTTTACTGCCCTTGAAAATAACTTGGAATCTTTTAGTGTAAAACAACAACCACAAGGTTGATGTAAAAATATTGTGGGGGGGGGGGGGCATGGCCACATCTGGAAGAAATGGAGAGAAGGTTGGATATAAAAGTAATGAAAATACCAACCAACAAACTACATTTTCCCCCAAACCGCATCACTACATTTTGAGCACATAGCACAGATCTCATTCATCCCAACTGTGTTTGAGTTTCTGTCAATGTTTCATTTTTAAAATAATAATAAAACTTTATTTATAACCTGCCCTATCTCCCCGGGAGGGACTTGGGGTGGTTTCCAACAAAAGATGGCAAACATTCAATGCCATAATAAACAATACAAACAAAACAAATCAAATCAAATTTATTTAAACACTGTATTTATTAACTGTTATTAATATCACTATGAGATCTATCTTTAAAAAGCTTTATTTTTAATGGAGTAAGAAACTGGAAAAGTTTAGACCTCTGTTTTTTTACCCATGATTTTGTCATTCCTCCTCTAGTTAACATCACATCCAATTTCTTACAGAATTCTGTTGAATGAGTCTGTATATATACAGCTCAGGGACTGGTAATGAGATCAGAAGTCTTGGCTTGAGTGTGACCTAAATCAACAGCAGACCAGAGTTGCTAACATCTGTTTGACGTTCTGGTCAGTAGCTGCTACAAAACAGCTCAAGGGGCTAAGCCGGTTGCTGGTAGAAACAGTCATTTCTCATGTGAATACAGATCAACATTCTTAGCAACCCTAACTATTTAGCATATAGCTGGACATACCATTTTATTTTTAGTTCAAGAGTTGCAAATGACACTAAACATAGATATAAAAATGAATAAATATAATGTTGAATCTAAAAAGAGGAATCAAGTATGACATTTTAAAATACTTACAGGCTCTCCTGGCTCATTTCCACCAAGAATCCTAAATCCAAACCCAGTTTCCTTTCTCCATAGAAAGATATCCTGCTCTTGATAATCTGGAACTGCAAATAAAATAAAATAAAATAAAATAAAATTTGGACATATTACTTAATAATAACTGGGTACACAAAGGTTGGAATGTCTTGCACTTGGGATTATAAAACATGTACACATTGTGGCATTTCTTTTTTTTAAGACAGCTGTTTCGTTTACAGTGAATGGAAACATACAACATAATGTGTATGTAATTATGTAGGGCACAGTATCTTAAAATGGTACATCCTCTGGGATTGTCTGGACGATGCTATTATGGGCAGCCTTGAAATTAAGGCCAAATAATTGCATTTGTTGCTAAGAGGAAAAAATTATTTCATTTCAGTCTAAACAGTTCATTTCCTATTGTGTTTCAAACATACCGCATAAATGGTCATGTCAGAATGGTGTCTTTGTTAGTAGCACAGCATAAGCTGTACTACGAGCATTTCCAAGTGTTAATGCATTGCCATTCTGGCACATATATTCAAAGGCTGCAAATTTATTGTATGGTAGATTTAAAGGGAAATGGCAGTCTATACAATATGGATCCTGCCCCCACAGTCTACATGTGCCAGAAATTCAAGGTATTTAAACTCATGAGTCATTGTGCCCTTTCTACAGCAACCAGAGAGCACTGCAGTGCCCACACAATCTTTCTTACAGTTGGAAAGACAATCTAATAGTTTGAGACATTTGTTTTGTTCTGACACCACTTCTAATTTAACTCTTTGAGGAGTTGCAGTAACACTGCACTCTGTGCTTTTGATATAATATTCTTATCAGTTTGGAAAGGTATCCATGAAACACCTAGCAAATTTTGTTGTCCTTTTAAAGGAATGTGGCTCTTTCAGATGAGAAGATGAACAAACATAGAAATGTCTAACCTACACATTTCTCTGCAAGAGAGGGGCACAGCAAGCGAAGTTATCAAACTACTTGGGAAACAGAATTTTATGAAAGAACAAATCTCCTGAATCCATGTATCTTGGGTCACTACTGGCCAGCATTAGTGCAAGCAATTTTCCATCTGTATGTTTTCTTTTCTTTTATTTCATTTTTGTTAATGGATGTTAGTGAACTTTACTTTTTAGAGCTTTTTAAAAGGACTGTGATTAACCTAGCAGATTCTCAATAATATTTCATTTGGCTTTTTTTCTAAAGACGACAACCATTTGTGAATTAAATGTTTGCTTATTGCTGCAAAATTAGAAGTCAGAGGCCTTCACCTCACTAATAAATTCAAAGTCCTTTTTGGAAATCATGAGTAAACAGATTTTGTCATTAGGCAAATGAAGGTCTAGAAAAGAATATAACTCCATTAGTAACAGAGCACTGTTGATTTTCTTTTCATAAGATGACAGAGAGGAGAACAAACTAGAAGCTCTGTGCTAAAATTATTATTGTAATAATTAACATCTGCAGAGCATTTTGCCCTTATTGTCAGCATCATTCCTACTGACTGTACTATAAATAGATAGAGCTATTGGGCATAAGTCTTAAAAAACCCTTTCTTGCACAAGCTCAGTCATGCCTCTCCTGTATCATCACATTAATGCTAATAGTTGCATTGCATTTCTGCACAAATATTCACCTTCAAACACATTCAGGATGAAATAGTAGACTCCTAGGATGGCTGAAACGTTTGCCTATAATACTTTACATGTGCTCTTTTTAGCTTTTCTGCAGCTGGTTGTTTGCTATTGCTTTTCTTTCTTTATTTTCCCTCTTACCTATCAAATTGGGGAGCAAGTAATAAAAGTGCTACTATCCCCATGACACAAAGCTCCTCTGATTTAGCTGTATAATTATATACTTCAATGTGAAGGTGCTGCTTCCAGGTTACCCCCAAATGTCCAACACTTTTACTGCTGGTTGTAACTCATCCTTCTGCCCGCTAGTATTTCTCAAGTATCTGTATGGGACATATTTGTATGGCTAAAATAATCTGGTAAGCATTTCATAGAAGTAATAAGAGAATTATTACATGTTATTTTTTTCTCCACAAGGTGATTTTATTGGGAAATGTTCATGAGCCATATACAAACCAAAAATATTTGAGACATGGCCACATTAGTTTGAATCTGTATGCAAAGGGATATTGTAGCACTTTTGAGACTGAGAGAAAGCAGCTAGTATCATAAGATTTTTGAGATTTCAGGTGCCTGGAGTGAAGGAACAGACCTTTATAGCTATGAATGAGCAGGTTGTTTGTGTGAATAGCAATACAAATGCAAATCGTATGGGTCTGGTGATGAGGTGACAAGTATTAATGATAGTTATTGGGGGACAAAGGCAGAAGGAAATATGTTAACCAAAGCCAAGGTGAATAGATAACCATATGAATGGCGGAGGCAATTATTAGAATGCAGTGGCTGGGTACCAGAAAGGATATGGGATAAACTGGCCAAGAAGACCCTCATGAGAATGGGGCAATAACTATATGTGTAGTGTGCCAAGAAACCATTGCCTCTATTCAACTCACTGTCAATGGACTGGAGTTTCTGGATATATAAAAAAAAGAACAGAATTTGAATACGGTATATTCTAGACACTTTTTGAATTTGATGAAGTAGACTTAAATCTACAGAAGCTTATGCAACCAACTTTTTCTCAAAAGTGGTACAGGATCCTTTTGCATATATATATATATAGTGAATGGAAAATATCATCTTCAGACTCTGGACTGGATTGAATTAATACATGATTTGTTTAAAACTGAATCATTCAAAGGAGAAAATGAATATGGATTTTTATCAGATGACAATAGCAAAAAATAAAGTAAAAATGTACCCTTTCCGTGCTTACAGAAAAGGACTGTATGAAACATGTCCTTCTGTGAGGTTCACCTTTTATCGATCTTTCAATCCGCCCCATCAAAGCTTTGGAACTTACTTCAGCATTAAATGCATTTTTATAACAGTATGTATGACATATTGCCTCTGAGAGATAATGTCTTGGCCTTAATTTGTTCTAGAAATGAGGCTTTGTCCTGGGGCCAGACTCAACAATTCATCTACTGCAGTTCATCAACCAATGAAACATCCAGATAAGCCAACTGATAATTAATATTTCAGATGCAATTAACAAAGGCAATTAAGAAAATGTGTTTTTATGCTTGTTTTATTCATACTGTAATTAAATATGCAAAATTGATCACACCTATTAAATAATATCAGAGAACTGCAGGTTCATTTAGTATTTATTAGGTTAGCTATTGCAGCATTTTAACGGATAGTACGATATATTGAAAACTTTCCCATGAAGTATAAATGTCAACAAGAAAGGCATTCTTTAGTAGAACAAATATCAGTATCTTGTATTTAAAACAACTGCTTATATTTATTTATCATTATCATTTATGTCAAGTCTCATAAAACTGTTTAATATCTATTTTACATACAAGTGGATAAATCTGTGTTAAGAGTGCTTGAAACCAATCAGTTTTTTAGACTTCAAATATCTCACATGTGAGTTCAAGTTGTAGTTTGTTAAGTGAGGACCTGATACCTATCAATGATCCTGCAACAATTAGCGTACAGTGTTAGATTGAGGGGAGTAATAATCCCACTATATTCTGCTTTGGTCAGACCTCACCTGGAATACTGTGTCCAGTTCTAGGGACCACAATTTAAGAAGGATATTACAAGCGAGAACATGTCCAAATAAGAGCGAATGAAATGATCAAAGGTTTGGAAACCAAGTTCTACAAGGAGCGGCTTTGGGAGCTCAGTCTCTTTAGCTTGGTGAAAAGAATGTTGAGGGGACATGATAACCATGTTTACAGATTTGAAAAGATGTCACATTGAGGAGGGGGAAAACTTGATTTCTACTGCCCTAGAGACTAGGACACAGACCTATGGATTCAAATGGCAGGTAAAGAGATTCTATCTAAACATTCGGAAGAACCCCCTGATGATAAAATTTGTTCAGCAGTGAAATGTGCTGCCTCCTTGGAGTGTGGTGGACCTTCCTTCTCTGGAAGTTTTTAAACAAAGGCTGGATTGCCATATGTCAGGAGTGGTTTGATTATATTTCCCTGCATAGCTGAGGATTGGACTAGATGGCCCTTGGAGTCTCTTCCAACTCTATGATTCTGTGATTCTCTGATTCTGTGATTCTCTGATCCAGGAAAAGCCCAGATTAAAAAAAAATTCAAAATGGAGAAGAAATCAGTCAAGAGCACACATTTTCTGATGGATAGTGGTACACTGACTACTACCATTTAGCTGTGGAATCAGTGAATCAAAGGAAATGTGATTGATCACAATACCTATACAACTCTATCTTTTAACAAAAGGCTGAGATACAAATAGCTACCACACAAAAAGAGGGTAGATCAGGGATGTAGCCCTCCCAGTGTTGCTGGGCTGCAACAGTGAGGTATGGAGTGAATTGTAATGCAAAACATCTGGAGGGACACATCTTGTCCATCCCGGGACAAAAAGATTGAGGTATGCACCAAAAAAAAAAAAGGAAACAAAGATACTCCACCAACTCAGTTTATAACTCAGTACATTGCACTGATTCACCAACCGTGCACCTGAACTTGAACATCTAACATCTTGGGATGATAAATATAGGACAGAGGTTATGGTTAGAATCACAATGAAGAACTCATCCAAATTGAAATTGTTTCCAAGAAGCACTAGCCACAGGGAGACAACTCAGATGCATTCTGCGTGTATGACAAGCTCATTCATAAAGATTCATAATTTGGAAACTTAGTGCTTAATACAGTTTGATCACCTTATGATTGAATATGACCAGTCTGAAGATCCAATCCATTTATGTGCACCACTGAAGATCTTTTCATTTTAACAGACATTTAATGATTCTCTGGTTGCAGAGTTTCTATTGTGTGTAGTGTATTTTTAACTTTTAACATGCTTTTAAAGATTTTAAAACAAAGAATACTGTATTAACATGACAACTTGTTTAATTTTGCTTTATTTTTTTGGGGGGTGGTGGTGGTTTGTTTTATCTTGCATTAAAGGGGGGATATCTCGAAACCCATGATGAAAGACAGCTGGCACAGAAAAGTAAGTATAAATGATCAAAATGTAAAGTAAAATAAAGTATTTCTTTTATATACTGAGTTAGGTGGAAAAGTACCTACCAGTTAAGAAAAAAAGTGCAGGTTAGTACAGATATACCATGGGCCACCTTCCCGCTTGACCTACATGGATACCACAACCATCCCTTCAGCTTTCAATAGTTTTTTGTGTTGACACTTATGATTTGTATGTTGTTTGCATTTCCTCATTTGAACTCTGTTGATGTATTTTAGTCTTTCAACGTTTAGCAAAAATATTTTGTTCAGTCACAAAAAGGAGATTGAATACCTGTCTCTCTTTTCAGTATTTTCACCTTTAAAGCCAAGTTGCCACACTTTGTGATGTTGTGGCATTGCCTCAGAAATATAATCAGCTTAAACAGCAAGTCCTCTAAATTCCATTTATTGTGGATTATATTACATAAAAAGGGCTATGCTGTCATCATCACTGAGCTTGCTGTTTATTCTCAGTTGAATTGGTCTGGCTGAGATTTCTACGTTACAACTGAATTTATTCAGATAGAAGTGCTAAATGGAACTATAAACTAAAAGAGCAGCAATGAAACAAGGCAAAAATGTGCTAGTTTCTATGTTTTACAGCCACTGATTTGTGTGTATATTTTGTATACATTATCATCTTAATTGACTGGTATTGAATGAGCTTCGGTACATTCAAAACCTACATGTATTAGTGCACTGAGCCATGGCTCAACCATTTTCCAAACACAATTACAGGCTAATAAGGTGAGATATATTATCAAAGAACATAATTGAAATCCAGTTGAGCCTTATCTGCTTGAAGGCCATCTGCTGAAACTGGTGACTTTGTCTTATAACAGCCTAATTTAAACAAAGCGAGAGGAACAGCATAACAATCTGTGAATGTTGCCACTGAATCCAACAGAAGGTAGATTATCTCCTCGGCTCCCCCTTGTCTTTTGGTAACAAAAGTGAAAGAAGGTAAAAGTTCTCTCCAATGCCTCATGCTGGAGGTCAGGTCAAACCGGTTAAGACCACACAGCTTGTCTGATAAAAGCAAAAGATCCTCTGCTGGGTACTCCAACATGGAACGTTTTTCCCTCAGCATCTTCTAGCATATTTCCATTTGTCAACTCTACAGTGCTCTGTTGACAAAGCTTTAGCTTTGGATTCTTTCTCAAACTCAAATCTATTGTGCAAGGATCTGGCATTGAACTGAAATGCTACCATTTTATTATCTTGTTTTTAGTATTCATTCAACTAGAAAGGATTCACTGGACCTGTTCTTGAATAACACCCATTTCAAGGTTCTCACTCATAAAGAGTTTTCTTAAATGATAAAAGCAGCCTCACAGTACAGCTTGTTACATGTTGATTGCAGTTTACTATTCCACCATGTCTTTATTTCTGAGGACATGATTTGCTCTGGAGAAGATGACATTCTCAAGGTTAAGAAGCTTGTTCGGGGTTTTGTATGCTTAGCCACTTATTCCCCTTATATTAATGATTTATTCATTGATCCTTGTGCATTTCACAGAATCTCTTTCTGGATTTTTCTGTGTGATTGTTACAATCCATCTGCTGCTGTGAATTTTAATGTTAGGACACTTAATGGCTGCAACATTTAACGATAAACTTGCTTGGAAATAATTCAGTGAAAATCGAAAAAAACAGCAGGGGTGACCCTAAGCCCTTATTTTCAGTGAGGGCTTCAGATCAATGCTGTAAGAAAGCATCACAGGGAAGCTTCTCACGCCTCCTCCTTTTCATTAAAGTTGGCATCACATAACATTGCATTTAGAATAAAAGCAGGTACTTTAAAGAGGACTCCAAGGCACAGTGAAACACAAACACGCACATGCACGACATGGACAAAACTGATGCAAAACTCTTTTTACAGCTTTCTGCATTGAGTGGCACCATTTTATGATTAACATTAGCATCTGGCCAAATGCTCAAACAAACATCTCCCCCAGTTACGACCAGCACAAATGGCTTCTCACATAGATAAAAAGGCCATTAAATTGATAATGCAAAATGAGGTGGTCTTGTCGTCAGAAGGAAATAATATGGATCTTGTTGCATAGGGCAAGGGATCAGAATGTATCTGAAGCTTCCTCAGAGCATCCAGAGGAACTACCATGCAACAGGTGGCAAGAGTAGAAAACTAGCCATATGCAGAATTTTTTGAAAGGAGTTCCAAACTGCTTACAAATTATTCCTGATTTTAATATTTTTCCCACAGTAGGGTTTACTTTAAATTGCTGCTTTCATTAAATTGCACAACACTATTGGAAGACTAATGGTCACACTGCAAGGCTGCTTAATGTAATCATAAAACAGCGGAATCAAATTTGACCTGATTAAAATAAAAGTATATTTCATTATTGTTCATTTCCCTCTCCTTTTTTTAAAAAAAGGAAGGATTTTGGTGTCTATTCTACAACAGCTTAAATCTTCATTCTGTCCACACTTTTTTCATGACAAAATTAACAATTCAAATACAAACTGATTTGAAGATAATGCAACTGACTCATTATGGCTGGTCCTTGAAGGACATCATTGCAACAACAATAAAAAGAGTTTTTCATAGTTAATGAGAAAGAATGACTACAGGTGAATACAGGTAAATATTAGGTTTTTTTTTCTACTGACCAATATTCAGATAAAGCTTACAAAACAAATCCCAGAAGCTTGGAGTTTCCACCGCCCTGATTTTGTTACTTGACATTGGAAAGCATTTTGGACTCCCATTACTCTTCATGCTCCATCCCCACCTCTCCCTTATGAATTGTCCCCAATCACAAACACCACCACAAGATGGACAACAAGACAAATAAAAAGTTCTCAGCTCAGCCTTACATTCTCCAAAATTCGTGGAATTGATTTCTCTCTCTCTTTCACCCTTGCTCAGTCCAGTCGCAGGCGAAGGAGACATAGCTGTGAATATTAATTTTAACATTTTGCAAAGCTTAATGTCTTTTTTTCCTTGTTGGTTCATTTCATCTTAGTGTTGACTGACAACAACTCTGATTCAGGTTTTATTCCTATTATCACAGAAATGTTTGCTGCTTCTAACAGATTAGAAGAGACCTACCTTTTTGTCAGGTTTGTACTTACTGGCAATATCTGATGTGAAAACTAGTTTACTAAAATACAATATGCATCACTATAAATATGTCCAAATTGCATTTCATGGAGAAAACCTAATGAAATGTTGCTGTCGCCAAAGAGCTCACAGATGCTTGACAGCACACTTATCTACTGGATTAGACTGCAAAATCTATATACACAAGAAAATTACACTGAAAGCTTTTTAGTCAGATGGTGCTTTATGATGCTCTTTTAAAAATGAAAGGTAATCACACAAGCAGTAAGCAGGTGGGTAAAACTTTGCCTTGTGTTCTTTAAAACACTTCCTGTAACAAAGTAAGTGTGAAGGGAAGGTGATTCTCACATTATTTTTAGCAAAATCCAAAATACAGATTGTGGTAACGCCTTCAGAAAGCTAACCAAAAGCACAACCTAGTTTATTCAACTTTTGAAGCTTGCAAGCTTCTTTATCAGCCATGGATGTTAAAATATCATATTGGAAATGAAATGTGACTCTTGTGGGTCACAGAGCTGCATCTTCTTTGAGATGTTAAAGATGATGGTGGAAGGAAGTTTAATGCAGAGAAAGGCTACACCTCTTAATGGCATTTGCGGCATAAAAGCAAGGAAAGGCAGTAAACGCTACTCTCCATAGTTAGAAACTAAGGCAATTCCTTTGAGATCTAGCCCAGATCTTCCCTGTTATTTTAAACGTGTGTATTCATTCATGTGTATGAATTGTGAAACAAGTACCAAGTGTGGCTTTCACCCCAATATTACATGACACATAAATATTGCAGATCTCCCATTATGCAAATCAGCATTAAAATATACAACTGAAAGATGCACAAAATGTATAATTCTATCCTCACTTCCCATAAAGGCTTCTAAACTGTCAAATATGCATGCCTCCCCTTTTACACTTTCTTTTTCTGACTGAAATTTATATTATCTACTGAGCAATTTCACACTAAGCTTTTGAAACAGGAAGGGCCTATTTTTAACTGCTTAAAAAAACTCATAACTACTGTATACTGCCTTTGCAAACCAGGGTTTATTAATTTGTGTGCTGCCTTTTTCCTAATAATCTGAAAATGCTGGATTTCTTTTAGCATGATAATATTGTCCACTTATTTTCAGTGAAAAATTTCCCTGTCCAGTCATGGTGACACTTGTGACCATAGTGAGTGATGCCAACTTTTCTTCCCTTGCCTCCATGCATCTGGGTGTATCAATTGCATCGTCTCCCACAAAAGTTTCTCAACACCTATAAGTAGATCAAATACTACTTATATTGTTTAAGTATTTATATTTTAAGTTGCACTTTATTTATTTAATCAATTTATATATTTCATTTGAGTCGCCTTAGGGCTGAGAATGGCGGTATACAAATGAAGTAAATAAATCAATAAATAAATCTGGTTATTTGACCTCATATTCCTGATGGATGGGGGACCTCAACAGCCCTGTTGACGTCTTGCAAATTCCAAGTAGTGGCTTTCTTTATTGAGTCAATCTACCTGATTGTGATTTTCCACTTTTCCCACTGGCTTCCACATTATTAAGCATTGTTGTCTTTTCCAATGAGTCAGGCAATCTTGTCATTATGTCCAAAATACAATAGTCTCAATTCAGACATTTTGCCAGTTCTCATATTTAAAACAAGCACATGGAGTCACAATGTCATAAAGAAAAATAAAGAGTAATTCCTACTTATTGGAGATTCCCTAATTAAAAAAAAACCCCATACTGACTATTTTTGTTATCAAGGCCACCTTGTTGATCGGAGGCTCCAGGATGGCACAGTATTCAGAAATCTACTTGGTCTAATAGATGTCATGTTAGTGGAGGGACATATATTTTACTTCCCAGAGTATATAAAATAATAATTCAATCTGCATCACTTGATCCTCTCAGCTCACAGATAGTAGTCTACCACAGTACTGGAAAATCCAACGTGTTTAATGAATAGGAAAGTACAATAAACTTAATTGAATGATTCTAAATAGATTTCTAGATCCCCCTTTAAAATATAATTAGAAAATCATCAATGCACACTAAATAGGCTGATCCTAAATTTTCTTTCACAGAGACATTCCTATACAGTACACTCCTGCAAATGGGACATATGTCCCTTCTCAATGGGTTTTCAATGTAAACAATAGTACACATGAAATTTTTAAGAGATGTAAGTAAGATTTTGGTATCTTGGAAGAAAAAGACCTTTTAGATATCTTACTCTGAGACATATAGAACTGAACAAGTGCAGCAAAGTCAGATTACCTGTCCGAATGCATCTCCCTTTATGAGCCAACAAGAGCTTTAAGATCAGCTGGGGAGGCTCTGCTCTCAGTCCCACCCTCTTCGTAAGCATAATTGGTGGGGATGAGAGTCAGGGTCTTCTAAGTGGTGGCCCCTCAGCTATGGAACTCCCTTCCCAGTGACATCAGGCAGGTCCCATCCCTCCTGGTCTTTAGAAAAAAGCTTATGATTTGGCTTTGTATGCAGGCATTTGGTGACTAGGGTATTATGGAATTAGATTTCAACAGCCTGAATAATTATTCTGGGTTTTGGAAAATGACTATGGATAAGCATGAGATCAAGACTCGACACTTTATATGGTTTTAATGTGTTTTATCATTTATGCTCATATTTAATTGCTCATACGTTTTAACTGTTTTTTATAGTTTGATGGTGTGTGTTTTATTGTTATGTCCATGCAACATTTAATTTTGCCGAAGTTAGTAACCTGCCTTGAGTCACTAGCTGGGTGAGAAAGGTGGGGTGAAATGAAGTAAATCAATCAGCCAATCATTACATTAGTATATTTCCAGCAAGTTGCAAAAAACAATGGTTAAGATGCTATATTCTCTACTAACAGGAGCTTCCAAATACTCATCAAATTTGGGTGGTACAAGGTATTCAACTACCATGGACACTCTCTATGATGTTCTCACTGTGCAAGTTCTTTTTATCTGAAAAGCAGCTCTCAGTTTTAGAGTCCAGCAAGACCAGTTTAAAGGGCAGTAAACCTAACAGGACTTAACCTTTATTCTCAAGGTAAGACCACCATCTGATTGATCAATTTCTGGGGACCCAGTTGAACGAGAGAGCTCCAAGTCTCATATTTTGTTTTATATGGTTCAGTGTTTAGTCTTCCAGCTATAAATGTTTCATCCTATCCACTACCAGAATAATGTTTGTTTAAAGGCTGCCTCATCAAAATTTCCTAAGTTACACTGCACTCACATTTTCTAGTGATTTAATTATGGATGAAGAGATTGCTTCGTGTTCCTTTTATTTCATCTAATTTGCACACAACAAATCTATTGTGTGACTGAAAATAAAGGCCAAATATTTTTAAAAATAACTGCAATATTTTAAAAGCTTTAGAAAGCTTCGGCCCTGTTCTCCCTTGCTTTTAATTAAAACACGGTTAAGCCCTTCAAAGGGGTCCATGTACACATCTGCAATTTAGATTAATTCATTTTCTCACTGCTGTTTTGACAGATGGCCATATGTAGTATATGACAGCTTTGCAAAGCATGCAGGCAGCAAAGCAACAGATTGTAGTGATCGTCAAGGAAATTTAAGATTAAAACAACAAAAAGAAAAAAAACAGAAAAGGCACATTTTATATAATATATTTTTGAAAAAGAGGCCCTTTTTAAAGGAATAATGAACTTCTTTTTCATTTTCCTGAGTTCTCCCTATCTCCCTGAAAGATAAGGATATTTGAAAATAAGCCCATGTCCTCATTGACAGACATGACACAGGTTTATAGTGGTCTATGCACACATACAAAAAAGAATTACTAAAAAACTAGTTGTAAAATAGACTTCCCTTGATTTGTGAAGCTCCAAAATATCCCAGAACTTCAACTATCAAGGGCTGCAAACTAACTACATGTGTTCTTTAAGCAAAGTAAAGATCAATCTTATTCCCTTGGGTGATACAGTTTCCAATGTAAATGTACATTCGGCCACTTCTTTGTCATCTGTAATTTGGAACCTGGCTGTTTGCCTTTGGGATTTATTTTCAGAAAGTTAAGTTTTATAAGAGCTGTTCATCTGTGTAAGTTGCCCATTTCTTATAGCTATGTTGTTCAGAATTCTGTGGGTTTGAATGCAACACTTTATAAACACACCAAAAGGAGTCAACCTTTTGGGTCACCACTTGGCCTGGGGGGAAGGGGATGATGACACAGGGACAAGAGCACCCCTTCTCATGTTGGTGCTGAGCACCAGAGGGGCACAGCCTCCCTGTAATAAACAAGATCCTATGAAATAACATCATCCAGAGTGGGAGAGGCAGGGACTACAAGGATAAGAAATGCTGATAATGCAAGATTGTAATACTTCTTGTCATTGGAATCAGCTGGGACTGTGCATGTGCTCAGCTACTGCCTGGATGTTATAATGGGCTGGATGATGGCCAATAAACTAAAGCTGTGTTTTGATAAGATGGAGACTGGTCGTTCCTGAATCCAGGAACTGTGTAAGCAATCTGCCCTGGATATGACAGCACTTCTCCTGAAGTGCAGTTCTATTTTATTACTTTAATATAGAGTTTATACTTCTCCCAGTACAGGACCCAAGGTGTACTGCTTGGAAGTATTCCTAGGACCAACTCTGTCCCTGGAGCCCCAAGTAGACTCCATGGCTCATGAGTGCTTGGGACCAGTTTGAACTGGTCTTTTATCTACATCCTTTCCTGGACAGGAATAGCCCTCCCTTATAGTTAGACTCCTGCAATGCACCTTGAAGAAGACTTGGCAACTGTAGCTGGAGCAAAGTGCATTATTTAGATTGCTGAGAGGAACAGCTTGTACATATCAAGAAACACTG